AGTGTGGCTTATCCACCGGAGACACAGCCCCAGCTCCCTCCATGCTTACGTACACAAGCGCCAGTTTTCCCCGTTGAGCGCGATGCAAAAGACACATCGTGCACGAGCCCCAGGAAAGTCCACGTGCGATCCACCGCTGTCCCCATCGGTCCAGGGACCAGGCCGTCCCAATTGAGCCAATCAACGAAGCCCAATTGGAAGGCGTCTTGCTCCTCTCGACGTTCTGGCCCCCAAAAAGCGGAGATGGTTCTCGGGGACAGCAGAGGGGAAAAAAAAGAAAAAAAAACAAATAGAATACCCCAAAAACTGAAGGGGAAAAAAAGAAATCGAATATTTTGAATGGCGGATGGCTTGACTGACGCCCCTCTCTGCCACCCCACCACGGCCTAATTGTGGAGTTGGCCACATCCACTGTCCCAGATTCACACTCTGGAGAGCGCAAGAAAAAAAGGCCAACATGCATTGTGTGAAGACGGAGACCTGTTGTGCTCCAATTCTCCAATCTGCGGCTGTTGCTCAGCTTTGTCAGTTTTCGGCACCGTGTCGACTGGGATGTAAGGGGTCTAGAAGCTCTGGACAACACCGAGTTGGTACCGAGATATTTTCGTGCAAACCTCCACATCTCCACGAAGAGCTTTTCCCCCATCGCATTTTGTGAATTGTATTTTTCTTCTTATTATTTCACAATGCGCTGCTGTCCAACGCGTCTCCGCAATGGAGGTGCCTTCCGGGGGACCGTTCAGCTTAGTCTCGGCCACACTCTCCGGCCTACTGCGACGAACTGCTGGCAATTGACATGGCCCTATTGACCCAATAGCAGCCGTTCGCATCCCCGAGTCTAGCCTGCTATTCGCGAGCCCCTGCTGCGACGACGGCACAGGTTCGAAAAACACACCGGACGAGATCTCCGGCGGGGAGAGATGCCACAAAACCGATCTCAAGTAAAGAAACAGCTTGGCGTTTTTGGTGGTATTTTTACTTTCCCAACCGTGCCGTCGGCAACCAGATTTCTGCCCACAGTCGGAACACTTCACCAGTTTGATATGCCTTCAGCAATTCCGACAGCACCTCGAGGCCTTCGGCTGTAGTTAGAAACTCAACAGTGTTCTTCTTGGCGGTCTCGCCCCCGACCAACAGCAGCACGGCCGCATGGTTCGGGGGGCAGCAGATCGATGAAGGTTGTTCGGCTGATCGGTAAACTCCCCTACATACCACCAACCTTGAATTCTATGAAAGAGACGCACACTCGCACGCAAAGACAATAGGGAGTGTTGCACTGCCATCGCATGACTTGCATGTGTCAAAAAAAAACAATGGCAAAATCACCGACCCTTAATTGCCGTTCAAATCTTCGAAACTACCTCGGACATACTTCCCTTCCTCCCACCCACCCCCTCATCCTCCTCCTGTCTTGCGTGTGAATATTCAACCCATCTCGGGCGTTCTAGATCCCGGGTCCCAGATTGAAAATTCAAAATTGGAGTAGCCATCTCCACGTCCACGCATCCCTTCCCAACACCGTCTCCAACTATTTTCCAAGCAAAGAGATACCCACGCGTCAGAGAAAACCGGTCGGCACATCATGTCGTTGGGTGAGCTGTCAAACCCCTTCCTCCCGGCGGTCAACATCCCATTGCAGGATCCATCCCATAACACATTTCCCAATCATCAGAGCCTCATCGTGACTTCATGCGCGCCCAGAAAATCATTTCAAATTGCCCTCCTCGACAAGATTTCCAACGAAACTCCTCCCGCTTTTCTCCTTGCGCAGCACACCCCGGGTTCTCCACAAAGACGCCGAACGTGAGTTCCAGCTTTTCGTCTTCCCTTCTTCACGGATGCAACGGGCAGCAACACACGCCCCCTCCCCCCCTTCTCCAGCCTGTTCCCTCCCTCTCCACGTCTCTCCTTGTGCGTGTGCCTCAGTAAAGGGCGGAACCACTCCCGTCCAAAGATCTAGGACCCCTCCGCCCTCCGGCGCGACTGCGGCGCTGCTGCCAGCGAAGCCCGGCGCGGAACCTGTAGCGCGGCTGCACTCTGCTTCGCCGCGCGCGTGGTGCCCGTGAATAGAACGCGACAAGACCGCCCTCCCCCACATACGCACGTTGGAAGTGGCCTGAGACGCGGTTGTTAGTCCGATCGAGTTCCAGCGAGATTCATCGCGCCCAATTACTCTAGACCACCCACCACAGAAACCTGCCTTATCTACCTAGCTCACGAGCCGCAAACTCGCTAACGCATACTCTGCATGTGCGTGTTGGGACAAACAATACCAGCCTACTGGATTTCAAAACTGCTGCACTCTAAAGCCGCATTTCTCGACTATGAAAACGTGTTTAGAACTATTGGCTGGGCTCCCTCTGGCCAAATCGCAGAGTTTGTAGATACATCTCAGTGTAAGTCAGACACGGGCGCAGGTCTCGACCCGACCGGCCGTGTCTATCAAAGGAAGTCCAGAACTCTGCAAGTCACCAATTCTCCAATGAAATCCCCCATTCCAAAAAGTTCCCATTCACTGGCATTTGCAATCCTCGCGCCATCCCACACACCCCGCAAAACCCCCCCCCAGAAAACGGGAACAGAAAAAGCCCCCGTAGTTTCCAATCGTCGTCGCCGCCACAAAGATGCATCCTCCCTCCTTCCGCCGCAAAGCACACACACAGAACGCCCTGCCCGCCGCCATCAAACGCCACAAGACCATCCAGACAAAAGGGCAACGGGCTTCGCCCAGTGCACACAAACATCTTCGGCAGAGTGCCGTGCGCTCAAGCTGCCCTCAAGAAACATCAAGGTGTAGTTCATCTCTAGCGTCTTTCCCGATCCTTCCCATGCGCCGCCCCCTTGGCCGAAAGGGCGTCGATGTCGTTGTAAGGCATCCTGGAAAGGGGACAAGCAGACAATAACGCCCGCTAGAATCTCGAACCAAGATCTGGTGGTTCCACGACTCTACCCCAGATACGCAGAGCCGCCTCCGTCTTTCCGGAACAATGAAAATAGATTAGAAGCTGATGTTGAACAAGGTACTTCGAGCAATACAGTGGCCAGCGCAACGCAGCGAAAGACGACAGAACTAACTAACACAAGCCACCACCATTAATCCCCCAGAGCAAAAACCTCGGACACGGCAGTTGCGAAAATCAATCACAGACACTCACGAAGAAACATCGGACGTTCGAATTTATCCCCATCCCCATACAGGCGTAATAACATTGAGCAAACATGACCTCCCCCAAAAACCTATCCATCCGATCTCGCCCGTCTTGATGCCTCTTCATCCGACGCATTCACCAGGCGTTTACGCGTCCCCACCTCCAAACACATACATCCCCTCAACTCCTCTCCTCACCTGACAGCCTCAAACCTTAATAAACACCCACTGCCATTCCACACCGCAAACCTTTTCGTTTGAACAACGCGATATACTGCGGGACACCACCGCACATGATCGGAAATAAATCAAAAGCAAAAATACACCAGACGAACACAAAAAGCTCCTCGGTACTGCATCTCGGTAAGCCATTTCTGGCATGAGGAATCGAAAGCAAGTCACCAGCAACAGCAGCAGCAGCAGTAGCCAAACGCAAATGCATACAATGACTCCCTCTCGTGACTCCTCAAGCCGCTTCACCCAATTCCCTTACGCATTACGCCAAATAACCATAATCACAAGCATTTCTCCCTCACCCTGCACGTACTCTACAAGTGTAAACCGTCACAGGGGCAAAAAGAAAGAAGGTCACAGCCAAACCACCACCACCCGATTCCGTAAGCCATATGCAATGTACGTACGATACCGGACTTTCACATGCCCACAAAAAACCACAATCTTCTTCCCTCACCCCAAGCAAAATGCCAAAGCGAAGCGCGTGTGTGTGAGTGAGTGTGTGTGCCCCAACCCAAGGGGCTAGAACTACTCTCAGTGCAGCCCTAGCGCCGCACGCCGTTCCCGCCCGCGTCCTGTTGTTGGAATCACCACCTCAATGTTCGGGGAACAATGCGGCCGCGACGCCCTCGCTTGTGATTGTGAGCTAAGGTACGGTACGGCAGCTACCGTACCTGAGTAGTGGGCAAAAATACACTGCTTGGCCCTGGCAGTGTAAAGCGGTGAGCGCATGGACGTGGCCTTGCTCCGTCAGATGGGTGTGTCCGGCTGCACCTGCGTCAGTCAGCAGCAGTCATCGGGCTGGCTCCGGCACGTTCAAGCGAACAGTCACAGGGACACGTCTTTTGGGGGTAAGGTAGACAACAGACAACAGACAGACATTGGCACGAGAGCGATGATGTAGAGACACAGCAGTTGTTTTGATTCAATGGCCAACTTTTATTTTGTTTTTGATAACCTAAGCTCTTTGACGATTTTCCGATTTTTTTGTTCGTCGTAATGATTTCGCTTTTTGTGGCCCATCATCTGCGCCGACAGCTTTCGCGCGCAGGCACTTTTCTTCCCCCGTCCTTTTTTCGCTTGTGGTACATCTCCACTTTTGGCTGGGTTTTCCTCTGTCCGTTTTGCCCGTAATCGTCGGCATCCCCAACAGTGTCTGACTGACTGTTGTTGAGGTCGCCCTCGGGTGTCGCCTGTTGTAGCTTTGTCTCCCCGTCATCCCATAGAATACAGTTCATCCTCCTCGAGTACAAAGCTTCCAGCAACCATGATGTAAATATAAAGACCCAACCCAATTGGTAAAACATAAAGGTGGTATGTTGCAAAACCAAAACAGACCATGGTATCATATGAAGAGACGCCGTGCAAATGTAAAAATTAGAATCAAGTCCAGGTGGCAATCGCCGTGCCCATTGGACCAGTCCCACCCGTGCGCGCCCAACATTAGGGTAACAATGATAGAAAGCAGAGCAGATGCGATACCGTCGCGCGCGATGCAATGTAAAATAGCAACCAAATCATTTTTTGCTCGAGCAGGTGCGCGCTCGTCGGATATCGTGTGAAATATGTGCTGTGGTGTGGTATGTGTATGATGATGTTGTGGTGGTGTGTGGATTCTTTACCAGCCCTTGGAGTGGTAACCGCCAAAGTTGTCCGTGTCCTTGGAGAAGTACTGAGGGGCCACAGGCACATCCTCGTTCTTGTTGATGTAGGCCTTCTCGGGGTACTGCTTCAGGTTCGCGACGTCGTGGGAGGTGTGACGGCGCTTGAGGACAGCATTGGCAGTGGATGACTTCTGCTGACGCTCCCAGAGGAGGTTGCGTCGGAGAGACTCGGTGAGCTCAGTCGCGAGCATGTTGCGTCGCGTGGTTCGGGGAGAAAGGGCGGCTTGCAGATGGCTGTGGCTGGCAGTCGCGGTGATCGGCTGAGCAGCGGACCGAGGCACCTCGGTGATGGGCTTCAGAGGCGAGGATCGGTTGCCACGCTTCATCATCAGAGGAGCATCGTCCGAGTCGTTGGGGGAGACAGCCAGGGTAGGCGGGGCCGGGTGGCTAGTGCGAGTCCAAGGGAGTGCCGAGGTAGACTGCGAGGCAATGTTGCCAACGCGGCCGCGGTCGTTCTGCTGATCGATCATGAGGGTGATGAGCGAGCGACGCGAGGTCAGGTTAACCTTGGAGTCGACGCGCTGGAAGAAGGTCTTCTCGTCAATGCTAGACTTGTTGCTGTCCTCGATCGAGTCTTCCCAGTCGGAAGAGTCATCCTCGTCGTCAATGGCGCTCTCGTCGACGTAATCGGTGTCCGAGTCGTCGGCAATGGCAGAGTTGTCGTTGATGGTGCGGGTGAGGACGTGGTCGGCAAAGGAAGTGGTCTTCTTCTGGCCGGTGAGCAGCGAGCTGGGGCCCGAAGCAAGGGCGCTCTTCAGGGAGCTGTCCTCCTCAGAGGAGCCGCCAACCTGGAACATCTTGCGCTTGGGGGCAGGTGCCGGGATAGGGCGCAGTTGCTCAACGCTCTGGCCCTGCTCACTAGAGGAGCAAGAACCGCCAAGAGCGAACATGGGCTGCTTCTTTGACTGCACGCGCTTGGCGGCAGGCGAAGAGCTCGGCTCGGGGATAGCAGCAGGGGAGATGACCTTGGGAGATGCCGGCACAGGGCGGGCAATTGGTACTTGGGAGGGAGAGAAGCCGCGGACGACGGTAGTGCGGGAGTTGATCTCGGGAGAGGGAGGCTCTTGGGATTGCTCCTCTTCTGAAGACTTGCAAGGAGACTCGGTGGTGGTAGATCCAGAGTGCTCATAGGAAGGCGAGGCAGGAGCCAGGTCGGGGGTCTCCTTCTGAGGGGGCATGTATGGTGATGCGATCTGGGGAAGGGGGGCAGAGAGAGGCTCGTTCTCCTTGATGATGGAGACGACCATCTTTTCAAAGTCGCCGGCGGTGATGTGGCGCTCCTTGCCTCTGCTGCGGTTGCTCGCGCAAGAGTCTTGTCTTTGGATGCGGGGGCGGATCTCGAGGGGAGCGGAGGTAGAGGTGAACTCGACGGCTTCGTCTTCGTTTTCGGAGTCGACGCTGCCAGACAGCTGAGGGACGTCTTGTAACCTGCTGGTCTGGGGAATTTCTCTGGGTTGGCTGGTGGCGGTGATGGAGGCTTCTTGCTCGTCCTCGGCGCAGCAGAAGGTCTCGTGGTTCCACATGCGCCAGCTGAGGTTCTCTAACCTGCGGCCCTGCTCAACAGACTCTGCGCACTTTGCGAAGACTGAGGGGAATATGTTAGCGATTGGGTCCGGGCTGGCTCCGGATGGGAGCAGCCGACTGTGTTGCTTACCGGTCCACATGCTGTAGAGGTTCTGGGGATTTGAGGTGTCGACCTTGTGGATAACGTTGGGGTCCACAGTAAGGACGTGAGTAGCGAGAGGATAAGGCATGTTGCCGAAGGAGTCTGCTCGGATGGAGCAGGTTGCGGCAGACTGTTCTGAATCTATGGTGACGGTTGATATGGCGGCGGCGCCTGGATACAAGGCGCGGTGACTTGGTCTTTTGTAGGGTGGATTCGGCACCTGGGGCGGGATGGAGTGGTGTCTCGTCGAGCAATGGATCGCTAGCGGTTGGTGGCGGACGATGATGTCGACGGTGGGTGCTTTGAATGCTATGTGGTCGTCGTCGGCGGCGAGCTGTGACGGTGTCGAAGGGCAGATGGGCGACTCCAGGAATGCTGCAATATGAAATTGGTGTTCGGACGGTGAGACGGGGAGAATGCTGCAGGTGTAGGATGCAGATGCGTCTCTCGGGATGGTCGTCGACGGGTTGGGTGTTGCTTGGTGGAGCAATGAAGTAAGAGGAGAGGACGGGTGGAAAGTCTGGGGGAAGGACTTCTTAATTATTATCGTCACCTCTGCAGTCCGGAGTGAGTTGGGAGATGTGGATTAGATGGCAGCGGAGTGGGATGCATGTAAGTAAGTAGTAAGGTAGGTAGGTAGAGGTATGTAATGTGTGCGATGGGAGAAGGGCCATGGGCCTGGGGGGAAGAAAGAGAGAGAGACGGGGGGGGGCGTGAAGGGTGATGGAGATGGGAGGGGGGTGTGGGCGTGGACGGGCTGCCCTGGGTGTGGGGGGTGTGGACGAAAAGTCGTGGGTGCTGGGTGGTACCTTAGGGGAGGGGGGATGGGGGTGAGTCGCGGTGTATCCCAAGTACCTTGCACCAAATTGTATCTCCTCCTCATGGACATGGGGGGCATGGGACAAGCGAAAAAAAGAAGAAGAGAAGACAAGAGGGAGGGAGGATGGGCAGGGGCCCTTAGGGCGAGGTGAGGTACGGCGTAAGGTGGGGTGTGCGAGTCTGAGGGACCGCGGTGTTCGTACTGCGTAAGGTACTGCGCGAGGTACCTCCTACAGCACCTGGACCGCTGCGAATACCCACCCTCCTCCTCACAGAGACACTGGAAGAACGACGACCTGTGAAGGAAAGGGAGACGAAAGAGGGTGAGGGAGGTGCCTTGGGTGCCTTGGGTGTGTGTGGTTCAGGTTGTTCGGGGAAGGTCGGTACACTGTCTTGACGGGGAAAGGCGCGGTGGCTCCCCCGGAGTCCAGTTCAGAGGATCAGGAACGTGTGTCTTCTGCTCGGGTGCGTCTTTTTTGTGGCCGGTCTAAGCCTGAAATGGCCCAGTCATGGGAGGGAGAACTCCCGCGCTGGTCTCCATGGGGTAGCCCAACGCGCTTTTGCACGGCGGATGACCAGAGATGCTACTCAATCTGGCTTAGCGCTTTGGGAATCAGACCTTACCTCTTTGGGTAGTACTTTGTGGCCCCCGTTGAGGCAAACGTCGACGGTCATCTGCCCTCTCCCATTCTCCAGGCTCCTCCGTTCCAGCGGTACTGAGAGGCTCAGAGGCTCAGCAAAGGGTTCCTGAACTGCCCAACTGAATGAACCGACCTGCCCTAGACCTGGACTGGACCGTTCAGCTCTCGCCCAGCCCGCGGTCCAGCTCTTCTCCTCCTCCGTCCTCTCCATTGCTGAGAGGCTCCACGTTTAAGTGAAAGTGGCCTCTGCGCTGCCCACGGGACCGTTTTGCCTGGCCCGTACCCCATTTGCCCATATGGCACGCGGTCATGTGATTGACGACGGCTGCCTTTTCGCCGTCATGGAAGGACCGACTGCACTTGCTCAATTCCGCAGTTGCCCTCCCGTCGCCATCTCCGTCTCTGCCGTCCACAGCCACGCCCTCCTCTCAACCATGCCAACTATGCTAATGCCTTCATGCCGACGAGTCTCCTACAGACCAGACCTACTAACCGTGTGCCGTACACCGCGGAACTGAGTCCTCGACGGTTGCCTCACCCCGTCTGGCCGAGTATGCGCCGCGCCTCATCTCCACGTTTACCATCTCCTCCACCTCTCTCGACATCGCCTCGTCTCGCCTCGTCTCGTCCACCCCCTCCACCTCCGGTCCTCCGTCGCGCTTTTTCCGTCAACCGTCTCTCGGTACCTGACCGAACGCCCCCATACACTTCCCCAACAGGAAAAGACGCCCCGACTGCTGCCCAAAGAGGCCTGGCGCCATCTCTGATCTACCGTCCTGCCGGCACTGTTCCCCCTCTGCCACTCTCGCAGACACGGCCTAGAACAGATGCGGCCTCGACACCTCGCTGCCCTTTACAGCGACTTCCGTCTGCTCAGGTCACTGGTCACAAGCCGCCGTGCCTCTTGCCGCGAAACGGATCGCCCTCCACCGATTACCCTGCCGTACGGCGTGACCCAAACGCCATTCGCAGTTGCCAGCAGCCAACAGCCAACAGCCAGCGCCCCGAAGCCTGTCCCTGTCGTCGGCCCTGTCGTCTGTCCACCTGCTCACCTGCCCTCTGGCTCTCTCCTCTCTGTGCTAATCCGAGAGCTCGACTGCCACGCCTACAGTTCAACTCGTCCTCCCGTGACTTCGGACCAACCCAAACCGACAACGACGCTGTCCCAACCGTCGGGACGACCGCCAATCGCTTCCCCGGAATCCCCTTATTGCTGCGCCAAACGGAGCCCTGTCCCGACCTTCATTTCCCCATGCTCTGCCCTCCGTGGCCCGTACCTCCAGCCCGGATCACGAGTCCCCAAAATCGCTGCAAATACAGTGCCCAGTTGATTGGATTGCCATGGCATTATCGCCAGAGCGCACCTGCTGCGATTCCATTCTCCATCTTCCCCGGGCCTCCAATGCGAGCCTCGGGACGAGATGCAGCCTCCTGAATGGAAGAGAAAAGGAATTCCCAAAGACTACAGGGGAGAGCACCTGGCGACTCGCAGAGCCCGTGTCCACGAGACTATCGCCCATGGCGGTTGCATAGCCCTCGATAGTGTGCTGCTTTCTTGATCAATCGCCCATCAGAAGTGCGTGCTTGGGCCCGCGCCCGCGCCCGCGATGGCGACGAACGAGGTCAATTCGTAGCCCCCAAATTTGCTTGCGGTCGAATCGGCGACGACCCGTCTTCCAGCGCTGACACGGCGATGTGACATGCTCTGACCCCCCCGGTTGCTTGCGACTGACTTGCTGCTTGACTGGTTGCGGCGCCTCTGCGCTCGCCCCAAAGAGTCCCCGTGATGCTGTCCATCACTTAGGTCATCAAGATCCTGCCGTCTGTCGCTCGTCGTCTGCCGCCCGCTTGCCGCTTGGGAGCTGTCGTCTCGCGACAAGGGGACTGCAGTATCACGGTTTCGTTGACGCTGATCGCACACAAAATAAAATAAAAAGACGCCTTGTCTTTGGGCATGCACATTCATTCCACCAAGCAGCAGCCAGCGACGGGGCCTCAACACGGCATTGCACCCGCAGTTCTTCGCATCGCCTCATTACCCCGCGGTTAGCAAATCGTCATGGGATCCAAACTCGCCCACGGCCAGACAGGGGGCCGTAGCAGGCAGACACGCGCCTCGCGAAGCTTCTTGGATTTCCTCGCGCTGAATTGGGCATCTCTCCATGCTCACGAGAGACAGCTTGCCGTGCCAACTCAGAGGTTGACTGACGAGGATGCGCAACAGCGTATGCAGTCAAGGTCAGAAGGCAGTACTGGGACTGGCTGACTGGAGAGAGTGAGAGAGTGCAGGGCGCATGCGTGCGCAGCACCCAGCGTGCCAGGCCTCCATTGAACGAACCCTTGATGACTTCCAGGCTTTCGGTTCCTGGACTAGCAGAGACACACCCGGCCCCAACTCTCAAGCCTCCGACATGGCTTGATGGTCACCAGGCCCTCATCCCCCAAAAACGAACCAGAGGGTTCTCGGGGCAGGTTGCAATTGGGACCCCGGAAACGTCACATTCAATATGCAGCAGGCTCGCTCCCCAAGGGGCTGGCTGTCATCGCTGCTAGACTTTCCACTCACGTCAACAATGGCTGGCATTGGAGTTTTTTTTTTGATACTCCCTCACGCCAGACCGGTTTACTCACCCACGCAACGACCATCGCTTGTTTAACGGGTCACTTGAACTCTCCAAAAAAGCAACCACGCCTCAATGTTGTCAATCGACGGCTCAGTGACACGCCTCTGATCAAACTTGATGACCATCCCTCCGGCGCCAGCTCAAGCCGAACTTACATGACACATCGCGCCTCAGCTGCCACGGGTGGCGACCATCGCAGCCCAAGGCTGAAGCCACCGTTCAGCGATCCGTCTTCCGTTGTGATGCCACAGCCGGGTACGGATACGGCGGCGCGGACGGCGCCCAACTTTCCCCCCGTTCGTCATTTGTCACGTTAGCGGGTGACGGGAGGATTCTGGGCTCTCTCTTTCTAAGAAGCCTGGAGGACTGGATGCATGGCGTGTGTGATGAAACGGGTACCCGGAGTCGTCCACTCATGACAGGCCAGTCGCGGCCTCGTGAAAAAGAAGGTCCAATATTTGATTGTCGGGCTGAAATGAAGTCTGTCCAGGGGGCGGCCGATCACAGAGAGGACCACCGGCGTGTTGGTGTTCGCTTCCGCCAGAGTTTTGGGTACTCCGGGGGACCACGATGTGTGCTTCCGCGCGGCCTCTAGCCCAGTCCCGAGGACGTGGTAATCACACATCGCGGTGGAGCTAAAATGAAAGGGAAGCAGGCAAGGCCAGGTCTCTCCTGTTCAACTTCGTGCCCTCCTCCGACTCCCCGGCATGGAGGACGGACATGGAGCCCGAAAGTATTGGCAGGATCGTGATTCCCCCGTGAGGAGCGTGATGAAAATCATACGAGCCGAGTGACCTTGCGCTGCATCGACGCGCATCCGTTGGAACTGGGTAGCATGTCACGAACAATCGGATGCATCATTCCAACGCCCTGGGAACCGGTCTGCATGGGTGAGATGAAGACTTGAAGCAAACAACACCCATGAGAAAAAAGGTGATGAAGTAAAGAGAATTTCGCCAGGCATGCAGAGACGAAATGGCGCGATGGGCCAGGCATCGTGCATGCAGACGAACTCCTCTCCTCGACTACACGGGGTTCCAACAACCCGGATTGCAAAGAAAAAAACTGACGATGCAGCAGCAACGGCGCGGCGGGTTGGTCATGGTAGGGGTGGGAGTGCAGATAGCTGTTGGTCCTTCGTTGCGCTCTCTTCGCTGCCGTTGTCGTGACCCAGCCAACAGCAGCAAGCGAAAGCCGCAATTTCTCATCGTCTCCTTCACGATACGGGGCTCTCGCTCGCTCACCTGAACCAGCCCCGGGGACGGACTGGGGAGGGGAAGGAGGGAAAAGGGGGGCCGGTCACGGCAGCGCCATGCCATCCCAATCAAAATTGACCTTCTTCTTTGCACGACACCCGGTCACCGGTCGAAGAATTGGGAAGTTGGGTGACGCGAGGGGCATCAAAAAGTTCCCAAGAACCGGGGACGCACACGCGAGATCTCCACTTTGATGGCTTTTGCGATGTCCGCTGGCGCAAGTCGCAACGGTCTCTTCTGCGTCGCCTTTATCTTGTTTCCTACCCTTGGAGTTTTTGATTTCCAACCGTCAAGGGATAGGAAAGTCCGAACGGTCCCGATTGACGAGAAACAGGTATCCCAGGTGCCTGGACCAGAATGCCACAGACAAAACCCATGATGAGACGAAAAAGAGTCGCTCCGGTCCCCTGGTTTGCCCCAAGTGCGATTATCTCTTTTGATGGTGGTGTTTTTGCCGCGCCGTCGGCTAACCGCGAAAAATGACCTCATGGCTTTGTACAAAATAGAGTTTGATGCTAGTCACGGACAAGATTGCAAGGCAGAACGATAGCGAGCGACAGCAGCAAAACCCGCAAGATTGATTGTGTTCTGCTCACTGTGAACACCAAGTGATGTGATTCTTGGGTTCGAGGCAGGGGAGTAAGGAACTCAGCTCCAGAACAGGAAGATTGTGGGGGGTAGTAACGCGGACGGGGCCGCTTGCCGCTGCGCTGGGCGGGCCCCCGGCTCTGGTTCTGGAAATGGTCGACCGCGGCCGGCCGGTGCATGGTCAGCTGGGTGGCAGTGGTGGCAGTGGTCGGCCGCGCCAAAGAAGCAAAGATTGTGGCGGCTGGGCGGCAGGGCGGCTGTGTGAAGAGCATCCGCGGAGTCTAAGAGCCATGGTGCCGAGTCAGAGGATGCGATTTTGCCAGTGACGGACGGGAGGGAGCAAACGTTGCGGCGGTCAAGGAAATGTGACGCAACTCAGAGCATCTCATCTCCTCTGGAGACCGTCCTCGGGCTGCTGGCATTTTGCGCCCCGGGGAACGTGGAATAAGCAACTGCCGTGACGCTGCGCTCGTGAAGATGCATGGGCCCGTCCAAGCAACGGCAGCGGGCAGGAAACACATCATCACCGCCTCTGACGCCGTGGAGGGCGCGCACATCGGTGATGGGGGAGAAGGGAGGCGCCGACGGCTGGGTCAGCTGCGCGGCTTGCGGGCCGGACGTCTCTCCCGCTCCAGCGACGCAGTTGAGAAGCAGCAAAGAAGCAACCTGCGCCGGGACGGACGGACACGCTGCGAGTGCGGTGAACCCCCACGCCGTCATCCCCCCTTCTTGAGTAAGGGAATAGGTGAGATACAAACAATTCCATGGGAATAATAGTAAATCCCTCCCCCTCCAAACCGCTGGCACCCTCACCCTGCACACCAACTTCTTTCGGGACCCCGGCTGGCGGTATTGTAACCACACGCTTCTGCTACCCTCACAACGGCCGAAACGTAACGCTCCTTCTTTTCCCGGGGGGCCTGCCCCCCACACCCCAGTGCATGCATGTTCGGTGGTGGTTCGTCCTGTTTGCGCGGGCTTGATTGTGCGGTGAGGTTTGCTGCATATCGCGCGCAACTATTCTAATTGTTGAGGGCTTTGGAGATTGCC